AGTGAGTAAGTTTTTAATCTATTGAAAAATATGATAAATTGAAATGAAATACGTATTTCAGACATTGTGAAATGTGATAGTTTTAATAAATGAATAATATGACAGGTAGGATAATGAAATTATATACTATTTTGACGTGACTACTACCTGCGGTGTTTGGGGACTCAAGGCTTCTTGGCCATTTTTCCGGCCTGCGGTGTTAAAGAGTTAAACAAACAAACAAACAAACAAGCAAACAAATGCATAGGCGGATCCAGAGGGGGCGGGTCCAGGGGGTCCGGATGTAGTATGTAAAATCAGTAAAATTATGTGGGAGAGGATTTTGATATTTTGGACCCCTCCCTTTTAAAAATGCAGGATTCACCCTTGAAACATAATTTCATCTGGAAAATAGTAAGTCAGTTGTAAACCTTTTCAAATTTCATGATGATGGCATTCCCAAAGACTTACAATAAATATAAATGTCACTACATTTGGGGTTAGAGGGCAAATTTGAAGATTCTTGTAATGGCTGCGCCCACACTGGTGGCAGTGATGTTACAGAGAGTGTAACAAAGGTGACATGCTGGGAAGAAACTTGGTCAGGCCTGGTTCCAAGGGAGCTAACTGCTGCTACGTCCTCAGGAGCTTGTATGTATCTGTGAAGATGCTCAGGATACAGATGTGTTGTACAGTGTAGACTGTCACAGGTGTCACCTGGTTACCATCTGCTGGAGCATATTGTGCATATCTACCGGGATCTTGTCAGGTGATAGCACTATCATAGCATATTCCTGTTTATTTCTGGATGAATTATTTTCATCAGAGATATTAAATATCCATCAAAACATTGTTAAACATTATGTTAAACTGATGATAGTCTGGGCAAATATTGAAATATTTACTTTGGATTGAAATATGTTTAAATGTAATGTTAAATTATTAAACTGAACTGATATGTACCAGTTTATTGATAGATAACAGGTCGGAAGTGACAATAAATATGTTGAGGAAGTACATTCTGCTGAAAAAGTTTTGAACCAAGGAAATGTTTTAATTTGCCCAATGAACCCAACATTGTCAGAATTGTTTTTACTCAAAGTGGTAATATTATTTCCTGAAAAATACCTCCCTTTGGATTCGCAAAATATGCTCCAATTTTATGTCTCCATGTCTCATGGCACGACAGATTAACTACAGTAACACATGTATGAAAGAATCTGGTGTTCTTTTACTTCTTTTGAGTAGTATATATAAATACTCATTCAAAATTTTATTTTTCATGAATTTCATGCCAATATTTCGGTTTTCTGGGTAACTTTCAAATTTGACGTTTTAAGTGGTCAAAATGATTCCTGATCCTACGTCATTGTTTGATTGGTTGATTCCATTGTTTCAGTACTTATTCATTTCTTTTGTGGTGTTTGGTGGATTGGTGCTATGTTTAATTGGATAATATATTATCACTGGTTAAATCCTGATCACTAAAACTATTTCGAACTGTCAGTTTTCACCTTACCTGCTGATGTGAGGAGTCTCATTTTGTTGCCAAGTGTCATGTTTTTGAAATACTTTGATGAGACGACTTGCATATGATGTCACCAGTTTGTGTTATATATGTCATAAGACTGCTCAAACTATTTCTACAGAATTCTAAATATGCAAATAATTTGTTTAGATTTCCAAAATAATTATGTGACTTCATTGTATTCACAAAAATTTAAAAAGTTCTTTTAGTTATACACAATATTTATAAAATTCATCCAAACTTTGGCATTCCAGGCAGTCGATGATACATGTGGGTCATCTGAAATGGCACACATGGTTTTGTGATTAGCGAACTTCAGATATAATGAACACATTTGAAAAATCCTTTAGAGGTTTTATTGCTGCTGTTGAAACTATGATATTATCTGTCAAGTTACTTATAGTTTCTGCTAGGTATTGTAGGATTATGGTTGAAGTGTTCCCTTGTCATGCCTAACGCCAATCTTGGTGTCCGAAGTTAGCTGCTATATTATTCCTGGAAAAATCCCATTCCACTTTTGATAGGAATATTTTTAGCTTTCCGTAATACAGAAAAATAATCTCATAATATGTGACGTGTATGGTTAAAGAGGACATGTCTAATTATCCCCTGGGGGCACAGGTGGCCAAGTTGTCTAAGGCGCCACGATTCGCTGTGCAGAGTTGCGTCCCTTGGGTATGCCAGAAACCTATGATTATGGGTTTGAATCCTGGTTCGCCCCGATTATGTTTCTAGGTTTGTCAGCACCATACCCGTGCTCATGGGTTTCACCGAAGTGGTAAATGTCTAAGACCTGCATCACTTCGGGCTTTCCTCCCACATTAAGCTGACCCGCCGCGATATAACTGGAATACTGATAAAAGCGGCGTTAAACCCAACTCACTCAATCACTGATTATCCCTATCACAACCTGAGTAGTTTGTGTTTAGAGGAGTGTCAAACTACACTCACTCAAACTTGTTGTTATGCTATGTATTGTCAGTTAAATGTTACATTCTGTTCGTATTGAGTTTTGATGCTGTCATGGTAGCATGACCAGAGTACCGACACTAGATTGCAATTTCTCTTTCCCCTTTGCACACAGCACTAACACCTAATTGACTTATCTGTGATTTTGTATTTCCTGATTGCATCATGTTCATTTTTAAGTTCATGTTATTAATATTATTTTTAATTAAATTACATTAATTACAGTAAACTATGTGTATAACGAACACGCTTATAACGAACTGACGGATATAACGAACTTACTTTTTTGTCCCGACTATTTGCTGTTGTTATGCTGTATATATACTTATAACGAACTACGGTTATAACTAACTAAAATTAGAGGTCCCTTTGAGTTCGTTATAACCGTTGTTTACTGTACTGTTTCTTGTGTGATTTTGAGCAAAACTGTGTGAACTGATCTGCAGACTGCATAAACTCACCATGATTGAAAACTTAAACAATGCCATAGTTGTAGAGAATAAATATATTTTATAATCCACTGTTTGAATTATTATGAGCAATAATTGTTTGTTTTCTTGTGTGAGTAAGTGAGTATGGTTTTACACCGTTTTTAGCAATATTTAGAATTTTACACCCAGTGGAATGAATCTGTTTCAGTGGATGATCGAGACTGGATGTTTTTGGGCATTGATGTTTTGTTTTTCACATATCAAGTGCTACCTGGAAGATGTTTTTCAATTTGAACACATGTGAAAAAAGCATTGTTTAGCCATGTTTAGCCCATAATAGCTTCAGGTTTCATTTTTGCCGATCATTGTATTCAAGTTTGCTGAAGTTATGAAATTGGGTGTTTATTACTGAATCATCGGAGCAAATATTACGACAAGGTGGTGGTTATTTCTGGGTTATTTGTAAGATTCCTTGGATTTGATTGGCAGTTTGCTGCTGATTCTGTGCCCTGAAATGATCCACTGTAAAACATGGTTGCAACAAACTTGACTGGGGACTGTAAAAATTAGTTTGTTGTATCTGTTTGTTACTTGCAAAACCATGTCCGCCATTACAGATAATTATGTATTTGATGTTTGATTGGCTGCTGGTGGTGACTGACACTGACTGATATTTACCAGCTCGTTATCCATGTTAGAATCTTTTTTTTTAGATCTAGTTCTAGTGATGAAGAATCTGTTGGGTATAGCCTTTAATTAATTAAGTATTTTTTATTTGTGGTAAAATAACTGTATGAATTGATCATTGACACTCAGTGATGACACCAGGTGTTTGCAAAAAAGGGTACCCATGTCCTTGCCACTCCCACAATTTGCATAATAAGTACCGTATTTGACGTAATTAGCGCCCAGGGCGCTCTTAAAATTAGAAATAGGGAGCTCTTATTAGAATATAATTTTGGTGGAAAAAAACCAGAGTTGAAAGATCATAAAACATTTTCTGTTGTTTTTGTATTTGTATTTATGTGGATTCTAAATTTCACAATAGGCTCTTAAAAAGTGACGACATTTTTATGACGCTTTTGGCAAAAATGGGCTTCAAACATTGTACCAATGTGGAAATTTAAACTGTGGCCTTTGGCATGACAAAAGTTTATCGTACTAATGACATGATATTGACAAATGTTGCAAGTCAAGTAGGGCTGGGACGGGTTACTCGGGTACTCGGGTCGGGTGGGTCCTGAGTAGGACCCGGGTACCCACAGGACTACCTGGACCCGTAGTTAGTCACATGATATATCGTTTAATGACAAAAACCCACTTCATCTCAGTGGTTACACTACAAGTCACTAATGTTCACATTTCTTTCTGACAGTTCACACATTCCTATTGACGTGTATATGTTTGAGTAACGATAAAGCTTCAGTCAACTTCAGTGTATGCATGATCTGATTGTTTGATGCTTGTATCTAAATAATTTTGGCCAGGGCTGCGGTAAAACAATTCCCAATCAGACATTTTGTTCCCAATTCTTGAGATCAGCAGTGGGTACCTGGGTAGGGTCGGGGTAATAGGGGGTCGGGTACCTTGGAGGTAAATTTGGACTTGTCCCAGCCCTAAAGTCAGATAATAGTTAACTAGGAATGCTTGAAATGTGTATGGTAACACAGGGTGGGGGAGTTCTTCCCTCACAGGGGGCACGGGTAACCCAGACGTCTTAGGCGCCGCGATTCGCTGTGCAGAGTTGCGTCCCTTGGTCGCGCCAGAAACTTATGATTGTGGGTTTGAATCCCGGTTCACCCAGATTATGTTTCTAGGTTTGTCAGCACCATACCCGTGCTTGTGGGTTTCACCGAAGTGGTAAACATCTAAGTCCTGTATCACTTGGGGCTTTCCTCCCACATTAAGCTGACACGCTGTGATACTGTTAAAAGCGGCGTTAAACCCAACTCACTCACTCACTCTTCCCGCACACCTGGTCAAATGGGTTCTGTTTCCCAGATAAGTTGTCAGGGAGGAAAATGAATGCTCAATCTCTCAGTCTGCATCTGACTTTTGAGAAGACTTGTGAAAATAAGATAACGACACAACAGTTACAGTCAACGATATGCAATTTTATTGTCATATGCAAAAAGGAGAAAACTTGACAAAGAAGAGCATGATAAATTGATATGTGATGAGTTAAAATAAGCCACCATTTCTTAGAGTAATATTATGATCTCAATCAGCCCATATGCTATTAATAAACTCTGTGGTCCGACAGGAATTCTTTTCCCTGATGAACCCTCATAAGTCTTTCATTGATACAGGAAACAATATTCTCAGAAAAAATCAGAAAGTTTTACATTTTCTTCTTAGACTGTTGATAAACTATGATTGCAATGTTGATAAACAGGCTACTTGCTATAGGCTATTTATTATAAAGTATTCAGCTGAAAAATTAAGGTTCCTACCTTGAGTGACCCTATCACGTTGATATTTTTAAGACCGGTGCATGAGACTTGACTTATTTCACAGGTATTCTCTTTGTAATGTATGTTGTACCTGGCTTCTAAATCTCCTTTTATTTTAATGACCATGTGTCATTAGATCAGACAGAATGTAGTTCCGACACAAAGGGAGATAATACAGTCAAATACTGTTGTGTCAAACTTTGATGTGTCAAACTTATGGTTGTCTCAAAGTAAAAGCTTAGTCCCTCTGTGTTCCTTCTTTATTAATCATTTTCGGTTATGTCAAACCCTGGATAACTCGAAGTATTTACGTAGGTTCCTTCAACTTCGACACCACGTTGTTTGACTGTATACATATACTTTTTCCTCACTTAATACATGGTAAGAAATGTAAATTAGTTGATAGAATAATGATTCTAGATAAATAACAGCTACAAAACCCTTTCCATGTTCAATAGTTGATTGTACGATTCTGACTATATCATGAGCCTGCCCCACTGGTTGCACCTGTCACAAACACATGCAAAGGCAAGTCAACTACCAGTCACGGCAATCAAGAACGTTCCTCTGTTTGATAATGAAGTTAGTGATGTCACAATGGCTAAGGCCCGTGAAGATTCCGGGGTAGAATAGGTCTTCAGCAACCCATGCTTGCCGTAATATTGCTGAGTGCGGCGTTAAACAACAAAACCAACCAAACCAAACCACAATGGCTAAACGTCAGAAGCTATGGAATGTTGTGATGCAACAACCAGTTTTGTTTTTATGTGGCATGATTCTTCAGTCTGTATAATTCAGTGGGCATAATATAAGGGTTTCTGTGTACATAATCAAATATGAGTTATTACACAAAGAAAACATTTTTTTGATGACTTCAAACTTGGACTCCCAGCTCAACTGAGGCTAGTCGGTCACTGTAAGAATTGAGTGAGGTTAGAGCTGTTACTATGAGATCATACATATATTCTTAGTTCCCAACAATGACCGGTGTGAGAATGACCAGCAGTGTCTTGACCACTTGATAAGGCCGTCGTGTTGAAGTCAGTGACTATAAGAGACAGAATATGACAATGACAGAGCTATGTGATTAAGACAACTGTTGCATTCTTTGACGTCTTTCAGATGCTTTGGCGGCTGTGATAACTGTCTTTCTTTAGCAACCACTACATCAAACCATAGACACAAATTGCTCATCTAAGAAGGAAAACATTAATTTTGTGAAGAAGTATTTGTGTGCATAAATGTTGGACAAAGACAAAGCCCCTTCTGGAATATATTTTCAATGGCTTGATCTTAACTGATAAGCTGTGGGCTGGTACATAGTTGTATGAAGCAATCCACGAACAGGGCTATGCTGTCTCAATTTTTAACCCTGTTCATGGATACTGCATCATGAGAAATCTCAAGGCTAAAAATTTAAATATTGTTTTGGGCTGTGGTATCCCAACTCACTTACTCACATGCTGTGACTACCATTGGAGTCTCATGCCAAGTGGTCTGGGATGCTTCAAGATCTTTTTTCAGAAAATATCACATGGGTATCATTTTCAGCAAATACCTACCACAATTGAATTTGTGTCTTGTTTAACGCAGCATTCATCAATATTCCAAGGGAAATGACCACAGCTTGTTAATAATTCAATCTGGACCAGACAAACAAGTGACTGATATTAACTAGTCTACAGGTCATTTCAGATGAGTGGTTTAGGAAATGATGAGGTTCTAGAGAAGACAGTTAGTTCTTTCGGATTTTCACTCGTCTTCAGATGCAATCTTCTGAGACCTACATCACTTCGGACTTTCTCCCACATCAAGCTGATACGCCGTGATATAACTGGAATAATGTTAAAAGCGGTGTTAAACCCAACTAACTCACTCACTCAGAAGCAATCTGGTTGACATTGCTTCTGCTCATACTACTGTTTGTCTGGTCAAGACACAGTTGTTGAAACTACCTAGAATATTGCTGACTAGGTCATGACACAACAATCCCTTACATAGTATACTCCTCAAAAAGTATTAAGGACCACCCTTTTCTTTTATATTACTAAAGCCCCGCGAAGATCCAGGTTAGACTAGGTCTTCGAAAATGAGGCTTTCCGTAAAAGGTGACTCCCCTTGTCTTAAGAGGTAATAGGTGACTAACTGGATCAGGTGGTCAGGCTCACTGACTTGCATGGATCGATGCTCGTGATGCAATCACTGGATTGTCTGGTCCAGACTTGATTATTTACAGACCGCTATCATAGAGCTGGAATATTGCTGAGTGCAGCGTTCAACAAGAAACAAACAAACATATTACAAAACTTGATCCGTCATGCCATGACAGATTAACTATTGTAATATGAAAGAATCAGGTGTCCTTAACTGATTTTAATAGTATAATTACACATTTTTTGGGATGGCCTTTGTTTTTTTCCACTCACATTGGTTCAAAGTATTTTTTGTCAATCCCTTTTAGGTATTAATATCAGGCTCTGTTGTGGCTAAAATAGATTAGAATCCTGCTTTCCCTCGATTTTGTGAGATTTTGAATATATTAGCAGTGTAACACATATATAATATAACATCACATTTCAAGCTGTACAGCGATCATTGTTTAAACAATTGTGTAATAATCTTCAAAAATTAGGTTGCAACATTTCTAGCAGAATCACTACACCAAAAAAAAAGAAGTTCCGTTGGAGTACTATATCTTCACTAAGGGCCATGCTGTCTGGCTTACTAGCCCTAAATAAGGATAAGTAGTCTCAAAGTCTGTTTAAGCTCTACTATTAATGTCCTGGGCCAATTTCACAAAGCAAGTAGTGCTGTGATTGTCTTAACTCATATTGTTCAGCGTAAGCTTGGCAATAAGATCGCTTTGTGAAAAATGTCCCTGCACACATCGTGTGATTCATCCAGATCTCTCCAGGATGAGATGCTCTTCTCGACTTTGGAGCATCTTCCTACAATATACTGTAGAGAATATTGATGTCAGTGTTTCACGGAATGACTTGTTAATTACACAATACAACACAAAGTTTGTGGAAAAATTCAGTGCCTGCATAAAATTAGTGATGGCATTCACGATCTTCACTTTATACTGTTGGGAGTCTGTGGTGTAGTTCAACACAAATTTGAGCAATTCACTTGGTGACACAAGAATAAGGAACATTATCACTACGGCAACCAGAGTTGCTGTCACGCTGTTCAACGCACTATCAGTGGATCGTTTCCGCGAAATATGCCGCGCCATTTTGGTTTGATGGGGGCTGGAGTTGTAGCTCTGAGACTCCAACTCGACAGAACAGGATGGCTTGTACGATATCTGTCCAGGACTTCTTTTAAAACTCACAGATGTTGAAAGCGTTCCGTTTTTGTTTGCGCTGTACAGACTACTCTGTTCATGGCACTGCATCGGGGCCATGTTCCTCCGCATCCTCTTGGCATGGTGAATCTTCCATATCAGACAGATATTGAAGTAGATCAGAGCAGCGCAAGGAATGAAATCAAACAGCACCGACCACATGAGACGTCTGGCTGCTACAACTTTACGCGTGAACATGCTTCGTTCTATGACATGGAGGTAAGTTATGTTGTCAGCACATTGAAAGTGTTGAATGCGTGTTTGCATGAAGATCGGTATGGTGCAAAAGGCACATCCAACAAATATAGCTGTGATACTGATACGAGTGCGACGAAGGGAGATAAGATTCCTGGCTTTAAAGGGATGACAGACGGCCATGTACCGTTCACCAGCCATTACAACAATCAACCAAGTGCTGGTTACAATGAACATAGTGATGAAGCCTCCCCCGAGCCAATCATAGTAGATCAGAGCATCGCCAAGGACGTAAACACCCTTCAGTGGTAGCATCACAAACAACAGTGCCAATAGACAAAACATGAAATCAGAAAAGGCAAGCGCGATGAGGCCCATATGGGCAGATAACTCCATCTTGGTCAATGTGCGTTGACGCTTTTCTTTCGTTAACACTAATAAGTTTAAAATGTTGCCAACAATCCCAAACGAACACACAACAGGGATGCCAATGTTCATGAAATAGTATTGGATGGCGATTGCTTGAAGCTCCTCCGCACTCTGGGTGTCTTGGAGGTCAGAGGTCGTATTACCATCATTGTCTAGACTCAGATTGGGACACGACATCTTAATCTGAAAGCAGAAAAGAAAATTATTATATAATCACCAACAAAAGAAACGCGAATACCATACATGTTGGTTAATATTTGAAGAATTACTCATATTCAAGAGATATTAGATTGGTTCGATGCTCAAAGAACATACAAGTATGTTGTGTGAACTGACGCTCATGATCACATCACATGTGACGTCATAGATCTATGACTCGACGTGCACCATATGTCTTGTGCAGGATTAGCGTGTAAAGTTTGGAAGTCACGTGCTGCATATCGTGATACAATCACATTAAAATCAGACCTTAGTTCTCGCTACCACTAAACAAAGATCTGAGGACATCCCATTACGGGTCACGTCAGACCGACCTTGCGCGAACTTTGACCGACCAATGGATTGACCAATTTAGAAGGGAGCTTTCTCGTGCTGTACGGCACTAATTTCAAATTGGCGACAACGTTTCGAAACATATTTTGACAAATTTGAAAAGTGAACAAAAGAACATTCTGCAATGGCTAATAGATGGTCTAGATTGTATGGATTCAGTCGTTAAACCCGTAACTATATATCGTTCAGAATACCCCATGTTAAAGTTTTCCAGGTTGCATGATTAGAAATCACATTCCGACTGTCACTTTCATAATCTGGTAAGCGACGCTCTGATAAGTCAGATGAAAGGTCGTTCTTGACGTGACCCCTAATGGGATGTCTTCAGATCTTTGTTTAGTGGTATTGAGAACTAAGATCTGATTTTAATGAGATTGAATGTGATAAGAATAAAGACACTCTGTGGTAACACTTGACTGATTGTTAGTTTTGTCATTAAATGGTACACATTGGAAACATGTCTTCTTAACCTACATACAGTGTTGAGTATTTATGGTAGATGTGTGCCAATGATGCTAGCAAACATACAAATATTTGTTCTGCACAAAATTCGTGTTTCAAACTCTGGTTGTAAATTCAAAATGTCGCACACTGAACTTTTTACCGAACATTATGAAACATATTTGGAAGACAAAGGCGGAGAAGTGGCATAAGGATCACATTGGGCCACTTGATAGTTTGCTTAAAGTTGTGAAAAACTTTGAAATATTGCTGTGAAAATAATCAGACATGTTCAAATGGCTGACAAATACCCTATCTTGCTAATTACACTTGCAAGTTTTTGCAAGTCAAATACACAAATATGGCTAAAATGAATTGAAAAGGCAGATTTTAGGAGTTCAACTGAAAATTTAATGTGCAAGCAAGTCCTTGACCAAAGATGAATTATTTAAAATAGGTTTGTAATGTTTTATGTACATCTATAAAAATCAACGTGGCTCAAAGCCTTCTCTTCAAATAGTCGAAAAAAGATTAATGACAACCTGTAAAATCAGCCATTGTTTCACGTTTTATTCTTACTTTTGTATCTAGAGTTTTCATAAGTACCAAACAAGCAAATGTTGAAATGAACAAAGTTTGGTTCTCAATGTCTGAACATTTTGCCCACTTTATAAATTCCGCAGATCCTGTGAGCCAAAAAGAACCTACCCTGACCTTTATTAGACCTCCAAAACCTTTCGCCTCTTGTACACTCACTGGTATAGGTTTGACGAGAACTTCAGTTCAGCTCATTTCTTACTCTGTTTTAAAGTTCAGAAGAGTTTGTTGTGTCCAATCATGGTCATGAACTGTATACACTGGTAAAAATTGGATGGAAATTCCAGGAAACTATGGAGGGAGGGGGGGGGGGGGTCATTTAAAAGTGACACAGTTCTATTATTTCAATGAATTGAACATAATTTAGAGACTGGTCATTTATTAATGGGAGGAGGGATGGGGGTCATGAAACTTTTTACTTGGTGAGGGTGGAGAAAGGGGACAAGACTTGATACATAATGCGGTGTGTCTGTCAAAAATATGATACATTCCTAAGAAAGGTTATTGCACCCCGTATATTAGATGAGTCCCGATTTACTTAAAGAAGCAATGAAACATCAACAAATATCTGTTTCTCACCTGCAGTGTGCTGCCTTTGTTATCCAGAACTGGTCACTGCCTAGGTCCATTCCATTATGGGCTGGAAAAAGTGTTTTTGATATCAATTCATTTCATTTATCAAGAATGTGTAAATATGCAATGATATGAACATACAGGTAAGCACGGATGCAACAGGTGGCGTTGTTGTGGCTGCATAGTGCAGAGACGTACATGAAATGCATGACAGAATAACTAATAATGTTATTTGATCACATGAATTTCGTTTTAATTTCATATCTTCATGAAAAATATCACACTATGGTATTTTTTCAAATTAACATGTAAAATTTGAACATTATCAGTCATTTATTAAAGGTAGGTTGAGGGTGGGGGATGATGGGGGTATTTTGGGGGGAGTCAGCACAATTTGACACAGTTCTAAGACCTGTCTCATCACTGTCCCCACCAACCATCCTCCATAATAAATTACCAGTCTCCCGTGCACTTATTGACATACATTTAATTCTCAACAGGGGGCATGGGTGGCCCAATCATCTAAGGTGCCATGATTCACTGTGCAGAATTACGTCCCTTGGGCACACCAGAAACCTATTATTGTGGGTTCGAATCCTGGTTCGCCCTGATTATGTTTCAAGGTTTGTCAGCACTATACCCATGCTCGTGGGTTTCACCGAAGTGGTAAACGTCTGAGACCTGCATCATTTCGGGCTTTCCCCCTACGTTAAGCTGACACGCTGTGATATAACTGGCATGCTGTTAAAAGCGGCGTTAAACCCAACTCACTCACTCACTAATTCTCAACAATACATGGCTTGATTCAAAGAAAATAGTCATTATCTTGCTTGTTTATTAAAAGGAATTGTGGCATGAAATCCTTGATTAGTTTAAACGCGGAATATGGTACAGCTGACAGGTTCCTATTGATAAACGGTGTCACAGTCATTGATTGCCTCTTGTCCAGTTTCATTACCTGTAGAATACATTTGGCAAATGTGCAACTGACCCAGAATGTGTTTGTATAGTAATTGTATATGTATGATATCAGCTGTACCAGTGACCGTTTTAATTACCGTATTCGACGTAATAAGCGCCAAGGGCGCTCTCAAAATTAGAAATAGGGGGCTCTTATTAGAATATTATTTTAGTGGGAAAAAAAACAGAGTTGAAAGATAAATTTCGTGGTTTATGGTGACAGCCTGAAATGTTTATGTACGACAGATATATCTTTCCAGAATTTAATTGCCCACAATTAAGGGTGCATATAACATATGCATATACACGAATAAATAAGTCTTGTGTACATTGATCAATCGGAAGGGGTGCTAATTAGGATTGTTTACTAGCCAATATATCAGCAAATATTGTCGTGGGCACTTATTAGAGCGGGGCGCTTATTACGTTGAATACGGTACTCGTTCCAGTGACCGTTTTAATTACTTGTTCCAGTGACCGTTTTAAGCAAGGTTGGATGGAGATTATTAATTTCATATAGGTGCAGGAAGGTTTGTAGCTTAATTGAACTGGATACGCCATTTGGTGGAAATCTTGCATTGTCAAGACACAATTGTGCATAATATCAGCATATATGTAGTAGTAGTAGCAGCTGTAGCAGTAGTAGTAGTAGTAGCAGCTGTAGCAGTAGTAGTAGCAGTTTTTTTAGTTGCATTAGAACCAGTAGTAGTTATGTCAATAGTGGAAGTGGTGGTAGTAGTAGCATTAGTAGTAGCAGTAGCAATAGTAGTAGTCGTAGTAGTTGCAGTAGTTGTGTCAGAAGCAGTGACGACAGCAGCTGCAACATCAGTAGTGGTAGTTGTCAGCAGGAACATTCTGGTCACACTCACTCACTCACTCACTCACTCACTCACTCACTCACTCACTCACTCACTCACTCACTCTTGTTGTAGGAAATTAACGTTAAATAACCCTTGACAATATTTGTAAAATACCGGTAAATGTTTTGCCTTCTGCATGTTCGACATGAAAATCGGTAAAACTAGAAATTAACCAGGTTGGCACACATATGAGCTTGTCTTTCAGCTGGCAGGAAATAACAAAATCAGCAGCCGTTTGAATTCTTTTTCCTCCTCAGTATCTGCGAAGAAAGGATTCTCTTTCTACAATTTCCTTTATGAAAACACAGGAAAGACATCAAGGATTCTTCTAATCCTGATTTACATCAGCCAGGAGCCAATTAGGACCATTTTGGCATCAACAAATCCCTTTCCTGGGTTGTTTCCTTTTATTTCCCATCTTGACTTCCGATGGTGCTAACCTTGAATGGTCTCATAATCCATGTCAGCAGATTATAAGGACCTCGTACAAACCTACGCATTCTGTTATAGATCACTGTCTGGGATCTTGATAGGTCGGAAATACTGTCAATGCGACTTTAATTTACCTCACTCACTCACTACTGTCAGTGTTTTGGGGGATGGCGCTAATAAAGTTTTGACTCCATAACATATGAGAAAAGAGAAATTTATAAATGAAAAATATTACTTGTTTCCCCCAATCCTTCGCAGTTTGTTTGCAGAAGTCAAAAGGATATTAAACTGATGCTTATAACTTTCAGTATGTTTAAGTCATCAAAACATAAAAAAGTGGAAGAATATTTTACAATAAACTGATTAGATCAGGAAAATTGCATCTTTGTGTTGAATGCGAAAACCCGATTGATATAGAATTGCCGTGGAATATTATCTTCAACCATTTTAAGAAATGTACAAGTTAATCGACTTTCAAAGTCAAAGTCAAAGATATTTATTGCATGTAGGGCCTCCGGCCAATGCACAAGAGAGTTACAAAAAAGTAGTTTACATATTTGGCTATATACTCATGTTTAACAATTTGTTTCTGAGGGAAATTGCATTTTTAAAATTTATAGCCAGTTTTGATATGACAGCATCATCTTTTGAAGAAAGACGAGAAAAAAAAGCAGGTACTTTCTTCTTAGGTCACAATAATAAGGACAGACAAAAGTAAAATGAATTTCATTTTCTATAGCTGAATGACATAATGGGCACAGCCTCTTCGACGTTTCAGTTTACATTTTTCTTCCTTCATTTATCATGAGATCTAACAATCCAAGCCTAAATTGAATAAATGGACATCAAAGGGTTCTTGATGTTAATGTAGATAAGTATTTTTCTGGTTGAATAAGACTCTTAAACGTTCTGTACAAGTCATACCTTGAACTGATTTCTAGAGTGGAATGCCATTCCTGATAAACAAATTTATAGATTGTTCACGAAATTGTTTCAAAAAGAGTTTAACATTCAATATAGATTAATTCTTGGAACTATTGACAAAAAGAAAGAATTATTGAAAATAACAATATTTGACATAAATGTTTGCACTCTTTTCATTGAACCAGGAAACATTGGTCATGAGTTTGTATCGTGTACATTTGTGAAACCTGGAATTAATGATTTGTCTTAACTTGAAACACAACTTTATTAACCGTGTCCCAGGTTTCAGCTGCTATAATAAATGGGATATCGATATCTCGAGTATCCAAGGCAAAAACTTATTAAAAGGATATTAAAACCTAACTGATATCCTGATTCTGGGCCAAGTATAAGGTTGCACTCACTCACTCACTCACTCACTCACTCACTCACTCACTCACTCACTCACTGTTATGAAATATAAGAAAAAGGAACCCAGAGACTCTCTTTATTTTCAGATTTTCTTGATACTGCAGTAATCTAGACTTGCCCACTATTATAGACTTACATGGGCTGTATTGGATATATTTGTTTCAGATCTGTATGACAGACTTTTCAACCATTGGTGTATAATGTTAGCATAATCCATTGACTGGAAAACAACCTACGTTACCCGTGTTACCCAGTTCCCTCAATTGTCCAAACAATATTCATACCGAGCAGCCATTGTGGACACACAATCCCCATGATGATTGAGAAGGTAATCTTTCTATTGACCTAATCATTCTAATCATTACCCAATCCATTCCATGAACACAGACACTTTATGGATGATAAAGCCTTGTATTCCTAATATAACCCTATCTGATGAACGACCCAATATAGTTTGACCTCATGACCTTTACATTCATCACTGCCGTCTGCTCAAGCATGTATGGTTCCTGATGTCTACAGGGCAAGACTAATTGCTAGACATCTGTCCGTTCCATCTTCAAACTTTCATCGCATTGATTCTCACATCCTGTTAGAGTTCAGTGAGTCGGATCATTATCTTAAAGTGTGGTATTATTATAGGCGATGTTAATTGAAGAGATCAATATTATTTTCAAGTACCTCTAACAGATTGTGATTGATGGTGTTCGGATCAGTGCTGCACATGATCTGTGTGTATAACATAGATATTTCCTGCAGTGATGAGGCTATGTCAGATCTGTCACTTCTGCATCAGAGCTGACTTAATTGATGGGTAGTTAGTGAGTGTGAGTGAGTTGGGTTTAACGCCGCTTTTAACAGTATTCCAGTCATATCGCGGCGTGTCAGCTTAATGTGGGAGGAAAGCCCGAAGTGATGCAGGTCTCAGGCGTGTACCACTTCGGTGAAACCCATGAGCACGGGTATGGTGCTGACAAACCTAGAAACATAATCGGGGCGAACCGGGATTCGAACCCAAAATCATAGGTTTCTGGCGAGCCCAAGGGACACAACTCTGCACAGCGACTCGCGGAGCATGAGACGACTAGGCCACCCGTGCCCTCTTGATTGGTAGTTAGCCTCAGTGACTTGTTGGATTGTGTGTACCTGACTGTGTGGGACTTTGCCTTTAATATCAATCACTGGTTTGTCTGGTCCAGATTCACTTATTTACAGATCGCCTTCGTGTAGCTGGAATATATCTGAGAGTAGTGTTAAACCACAAACAAAATAAAAGAACTGAATCTTAAGTGCTGTATGTCTTTTTACACTTCTAAGCTGACATGCTGTGATATAACTGGAATATTGTTTAAAGTGGCATCAAACTCCACTCACTCACTCACTCACTCACTCACTCACTCACTCACTCACTCACTCTAAGCTAAAGACATCATTTCCACAGACAACAGATCAATGTTCAGCTTCCAAGGAATATAAAACC